TCTCCCCCCCCACTTCCCATATCTTCCCATATCTTCTGGGAATCGACGACTCATTGTGTCTGTGTGTTTTTTCCTCCTGAAATATGATCACACGTTCGGAGGTCCGCGCGGACCTGCTGGATCGGCGCCTGGACCCCACCACTGGCGGCCCTCGTCGTCGGAACCTCTGAAGGGGCCCTTGGACACACAAATGAATACCCACAAACAACACTATTCCCCATAGTTTAGCATATGTTCTGGGTGTTTGTCTTCCCCCCCACTTCCCATAGTTTCCCAGATGTTCTGGGGAATCGCCGATTCGTTGTGTCTGTGTGTTTTTTTCCCTCCTGAACCTCGGGCCTCCGAAGCTGCCAGCTCGGAACGCGATGCGCGATTCCTCTTCGCACCCTCGATCGCGCGCCACCCTGGAGGAGAACATCTCTCTGGCTGGGGCAGAGAACCGCGACGCGCGACACGGTAGACGCGTGCGCCAAGACGTCTTGCTAGACGAAATCCTCGCCATCGCTCGGACGTCCATTCCCTGTGTTTTTTTCGGTTTCGTGCGTGGTTTTTCCGGCAAGTGATCAAGGATGCTCCTCGATGGCCCCCGCCGAAGGAAAAATGCACACGTCCGAGCGATGCCAAGCCAGTGGCGGCCCTCGTCGTCGGACCCTCGGGCCTCCGAAGCTGCCAGCTCAGAACGCGATGCGCGACTCCTCTTCGCACCCTCGATCGTGCGCCACCCTGGAGGAGAACATCCAGGCTTCGGAACAAATTAGCGAACATATGCCACAGTCATCCGTCAACGCCTCCCCCCCCCAATGTTCAAAGTTGGCGGTGGGTCTGATGAGATGCACTTCGACCGCAGCAACCCCCGCGCGTGCCAACATTGAGTTTGGGGGGGAGGGGGAGGGTTCAATAATTGTTTCCCTCTACCGTCTCTCTGGCTGGGGCAGAACCGCGAAGCGCGATACAGTAGACGCGTGTGCCAAGACGTCTCGCTAGACGAAGCCTGGGGGCAGGTCTGCCGTCCAGCTTCGAGCTCCCCGAGGTGCCCCGAGGCTCATGTGGGTCTGTGGGGCCATCGGGGTGTGCGAAGCCTCTGTGGGGCACCTGTTGGCAAGCTGGCCTCTCACTCGACGTGCCTGCTGTACCTTCCTCTCCATGCCACCCTTGAAGGGGCACTGGGACACACAAATAAATACACACACAAATAACAATAGTCTCTATATTTTCATATATTTTCTGGGTTTCTGTCTTCCCCCCCACTTCCCATATTTTCCTATATTTATGGGGGGATCAACGATTAATTGTGTCTGTGTGTTTCTTTCCCTCCTGAACCTTCGCGACCCGAAGCTCGTCGGAACACCATGGGGACTGGCGCTCCGTCCCGAGACGTCTTCCGAATGCCCCGCGGGGCTTGTGACGGGCCTGGCTCGAGAGGCCCCAGACTCAGAAAACCTCCCGTCTCATGTTTTCCGTGACGCTGGAGGTCTCCAGGCTCCAGAGGCAGGAAAACGTCTCGAGCTGTAAACTTACATCCTCCTCGATCCTCGTGGTCTGGCTACCTGCTCCTCTGGGGTGACATATCGATTCCGATACCGCTACCCATTGGGCTTCTCCAAGAGTGAGGTCTGACAAGGGCTGCGCCCAGAAGGCCGAACTATCCAGAGGGGACTGAAGGGCATCGGTACTGGTACGGCAGGTTCGTGTCGTGACGGCCCCGGCGTTGGTTTCTGACACCGCACGGATAATTCTCCCTTGAACGATCGGCGGCGCTCCGATCGTCAGATCGTTCCGTACTGGCCGACTCTGGGCCACTGGCGCCGTTCAACCTCGAAAGCCCGCGCAAATGGTCGCCGCCGGGTCTGCACGACACGGACCTGCAGCACGCATGTCTTGCTCACCCGAACCCCAGTCCACCCGAAGGGACGAAGTCCCTCTGGAGCCTCAGATGCGCCCAAGTGCGCCAGGAGGGAGGAGGGGTAGGAGGAGGGGGAGGAGGGGGAGGAGGAGACGGAGGGGGAGGAGGAGGAGGAGGAGGAGGAGGAGGAGGAGGAGGAGGAGGAGGAGGAGGATGGACGGACCCCAAGAGGTGTCGATCCCACACCGAGACTCGCGTGGACCTTACAGCCCAAAGCTTTCACTGCACCGCTGCTCCTCACGAAACATGTCTCAAGGGGCCCAGAGACATACAGATAAATGGACACAACTCCCAGGCTTCCCTACATTCTCCCACATTTCCTTGGTTTTCCTCTTCCCCCCACTCCTCATATTTTCCCGTACTCCCCTGGGAATCGATGATGAATTGTGTCCGTGTGATTCCCTCCTGAGTTCTGCTACTTGGCGCCGCGGCCGTCACTTGGACTGCCCCCCCTCCCTGAGGGCCAACGTTAGCGGGGACCAGCTCAAGGGGGGGGGGTAACATCGGCCTGGAATCGGCGATGCATCGCCACTAGATCGGCGATGGGCTCCCGAGTTAGCAAAGCCGCATCTTCCTGGGCGGGGTGGCACGCGGGTGACGCAGCGCTCGATGCCGGCGGAGCCTGGCAACGATTGCGGATAGCCAAGGACGAGTCAATTCCAGACCCCGACCCCGCGGCGGCGCAGAAGGAAGCGCCACCAGGCCCCTCCCCCACATCCCAACATCCCATGCCGCGCTTCTGTTCACAACGTCGACACCCTGCAAAGTTTGACCCCTTCCCCGGGACAAGCGTTTCATCACGAGTCGTGTTCTGACGGTCCTGGGGCCCCGCGAGGGACCCCCGAGACCGATAACTGATAACTACCAAAATACCCCGTCGTGCTTTTTTCCACCAGGGACAAACGATGGCTCCCGCTGCTCCTCTTCAACAGGCGATTCGTCGACCCCTATCCCAGGCTTCGTGGGGTTTTCGACTGGACCAGACATTTTGGGCCCAAACCTGGCATATACGATGGGGGGGCGTCCATCCTCGATAGCGGCACGTCCGAATAGCTCCCTTGGGGTGTATCCCAGGGGTTCCCCCTTTTTCTTGAGCGGCCAAACGTTTCGGGAGGGGCTCGGGGATTGGGGGTGAAACATGGCCTGCTCATTTCAATTTTCCCTGGGCAAACTGTTGGGCCTCTAGGCAAGCCTTATGTCGGGCGTGTCCCCCTACAGGGGGATTTTCGACGAACAATGAAACATACTCCAAAAATGCCCCAAGAAGGTCAAAAAATACTCCAAAAATAGTCCCCAGACTATGTTTGGACTTCTTTTTGGTTTTTTACAAAACTATTTTGGGGGAATCTGATACGTTTCGTCGAAAATCCCCCTGTATGGGGGACAGGCCCGACTTAAGGCAAGCCTTTTCCTCCCTTCTCGGGTCGGGCGAAAGGGGGGAATAGCAAAAGGGGGGGTTCAGAATCAGCTGACGCAGCTGATTTTCCCGGCGCCTCCCGGCGCCGGAGGCGGCCATGCATCGAGGAATGGGCCCCTCGGCGGGGCCGAAACCAGCTGCATGCGGCAAATTTTGTAACCCCCCCTTTCCCAATCCCCCGCTTTGTCCGGCCCGAACATCGTCACGCCCCTGCCCACCGCCGTGACAGACCGTGGCACCAGACGCACTGCGGCAGAGCCAGGGGCGCACTGGGGAGGGGAGCATTACGTTCTGGGGGGAGGGGGTGGGGCATGGCGCGCGTTCTGGCCCAGGCGGGATAAGACAACATCTCTTAGAGGAACAGCAACAGCAGCAGCAGCAGCAACAACAGCAGCAACAGCAACAGCAACAGCTGCAACAACAACAACAACACCTTCCCCTCGGCCCAGGCGGCCGGCCTGGAGCGTGCGGAACACGTACGGCAGGGCGGCGATCAGCGGCAGCGCGACCCGCGGGGCCCCGCCCCGCTGGGGGGGAGGGGGCGGCGACGGCGGGCGCGGTGCGGACACTGCTCCCTCTCCTCCTCCTCCTCCTCCTCCTCCTCCTCTTCCTCCTCCTCCTCCTCCTCCTCCTCCTCCTCCTCTGAGATCCGGCGTTTTCGCCCGGCTCCAAGCCCCAGAACCATCACCCACCGATCCGGTTCAAAAAATGCTTCAGAAAGATTGGGTCTGAGGCTCCAGTCGCACTTCTTCGCCATGCTGCTGTTTCCGCAAAGTCGGACATCAGAGTCCTCATCATCCCCTCTCCCCTTCTTGTCGACCCGTCTTCCAGTCTAAGGTGGAAGATTGTATGGTGGCATGTCAATGTTATCAGTGCTGGTGCCCAGCGTAGCGGCTGCTGGTTGCTGGCCTCGCTTAAGCTTTGACCTGATCATCGACTGTGAGACATAGGCACGCCCCTGACGATTCCCAACCAAACTCAAAAACTCGAAGCTCGGCTGCAACAAAAAACAACTCCAGTACATTACACAGCTCAGTGGGGAAGGGCTCTTTTGCTTTGCCCATGCGGGGCATCAGGATAGTTACTAGGAGTTCCCCAAGAAGCTCGATCTCGCCCTGTCCCGAACCTTGTCAAAATTGTGCCGGAAGCTACCGGCCGACAGATAAATAGAACAGCCTCTGTGCAAAAGGGAGAGATCCATCATTCACTGCAGAGGGGGAACTTTCACTTTACACTTCCTAGCTCTGATATCTTAACGGGGGGTGCGACGACCCGATCCTCGATGTTGTGGTTTGTAGACAAGGTGGTGCCCAACTCGGGGAAAAAAGATAGGGGATGGCCCCCTGAGGGTGTACCGCCGAGCTTCCCTTTTTCACTCGGATCAGGACGAGAGAGACAACGATAACTCAAAATCGGTCCCGACCCCTACTGGGTTTGACTTTCGACACCCACCAAGTGTCCGAGCTGCGTCGAGCCGTGGCGACGAGGAGCTCCCCCGAAGGCCAACTACCGTTGTCTCAACTCGCCCGTCTCTGATTTGCGGATCGGCTACTCATTGGGTGAGGAACTCGGGGATTTCTTACAAGACTCGACTTCTTTAAGTCGCCGACCCCCAAGCTTTCCTCGACCCCTTCCGCGAGATTCAACCGACAGGATACCTCACAGCATCGGGGGTGGGAAGCCTGCAGGTCACGGACAGGATCCTAGCCGTCGGATACCGCCCACAAGGCGAGCGGTTCGGCCATCACAAATAATGGAACGTCGTCGGCGTAACGGCCATCACCGCCCCCCTCCTCCTGGTCACGTACCGTTCGACGCTGGTGGCGTCAGAGAATGACTACATAATACCGGTTCCAGACCATTCCCAAACCCCGCGTGTGCCAACAAAAATCAAGCCACCTGGGTCCTCACCCACCCTAACCCACCCGTGCTAACGCCTGTGATTGAAAAACCATAGAAAAGGCATCGATACCCCCGGTCCTCTCCCAGGGTGCGTGCTGACCAGAATTTCGAGGCGTATCCAGCGGTGGCGACGAGGGCTTCCCAGGAAATCCAAAAATGCGAAAACGAGAGAGAGGTAGCGGTATAGGGTATAGGTACCATGTCCTCCTCTTGCTTACAGCAAAAAGTAAGCCTCAGGATCCTGTCCATGCGGTCCCCGTCTGGGGAGTTTCTGCGGCAGCTGGCGCGAGAGGTCCCACTCGAAGGGCCGCGCTCGTGCGGCTTCAATCTAGGGGGGCCCCTTCTGCCGTCGCCGTCTCGGCGTGCCTCGATCAGGTACTCTGCGCTATATCCAGCTTTTGGTTTAAAGAACTGATGCCCATCACTGCGATGTCATGTTGCAATGCCAACTCTGCCACGGCGATGTCGGGAGGCTTCCCCTGGCATCGGCCTCTGGGCATGGCCATCTCCTCGGCCGGGCAATTATTGTCGTGGTCGTGGAAGCGCTTCACCGAGGCCTCGGTCTGGGGATGGTGCGAGCCCAGGTAGCAGACGGAACTGGGTATGTCCTCGGGAGAGTGGAAATTCGCTCCAAGCGCTCGTCCAATCACCCTTCTCCATGCCGCCTTTCCTCCTTCCTCCCTCAATCCTTCTCCACGCGCATCCCTCCCTCATCTCAACCTCATCCTTCCCCAAGCCGTCTTTGCCCGTTTCAATTCACCCTCCTGCTGCCCTCTCTTCTTAATCCGCCACATACGCTCGTGCTGATGCCCACAACCACATCGGCGTCTTATCCACCCCACCCCCCATAATTCTCCAAACAACCGTGCTGAATGGTTTGAATCCCTGCCAGCGACGCCGCTGGCCGTCGGTCCGAAACACCTCGAGATGAGTGTCTTCAATAACCGCCAGAAACAATTGAGAATCTCTGGCGATGGCCAATATCGCCTTTTCACCAACACGGCACTCCCCCACACGGGGGGCGACCTGCTATCCACCTACTGCCTGTAAGGGCAGTAGCCCTGACCTTCCAGAGTTCAGAAAAATCGTCCTCCAGACCGAAAGACATATCTCGTCTGCCTGAAACCTTAGAAAAAATTTAGACGTCGAGGTACTGGTGCTATTGATCAGCCCTCCGGGAAACCCAGGGAACCACCAAAAACCCAAACTGGCGGCACTGTTTCACGTCCGGCAACACCGAGGGCAGAAACCAGCGGCATCACCTGGTCAGATAGACCCCTCCAGGCCCCCAGGAGCTCGGCAAGCGGCGACAACCTTAATGTCTTGGTGATTTCGGACGGGCTACTGAAATAAGGAACGCAAAACCTGCCGACCCTGTCGGCGTGTGGATGACGCTCGTCCGTTCGTCGTCGTCGTCGTCGCCGCCGCCGCCGCCGCCGCCACCGTCGCCGTCGCCGTCGCCGTCGCCGTCGCCGTCGCCGTCGCCGTCGCCGTCGCCGTCGCCGTCGCCGTCGCCGCCGCCGCCGCCGCCGTCGTCGTCGTCGTCGTCGTCGTCGTCGTCGTCGTCGTCGTCGTCGTCGTCGAATCCGAGGTTCGACGATCCACGTTCGGGATACTCCTGGACCGTGCTGCGCTGCTGCGTCAAGTCCCGCTGCGGCGGAAAGGGAGGTGGGGAGGGAGGGAGCATAAGCAGTCATATAAGTTCTTTTGCCCCACAGCAAAGTAAGGCGCTGGGCATAAGACCTTTTCGCCTCGACCGGCGTAGAACAGAGTCGACAGGAGGTCGGTCGCGTGACTTTTCCAAATGGCCCCCTGCGGGTGCAACAAGCGGGCCGTCGAGATGACCCAGTGGCATTCCAAATGGTTCCCGGACGGGCCAGGAGGGCCCAAAGAGGCCCCCAAGACCATCAAAGAGGGCCCCTGAGTCGCGCAAAGGTCGCTCCGCGACGTCCAAAATGGCCTCCAGACAGCCCAAAAGGCTCCAAAAGAGGGACCGCCTGAAAACCCGTGTGGGGGACTCCTGGGAGGCAAGCCTTCGTCGGAACGATCACAGGCTCTTAGGCCCGATAACGGGGCCACTAAGCCTAACGGGGCCACTAAGCCGGATCAGGCTAGATTAAACCTGGGATTAGACTGGACAGAGCGGGCTTAAGCGGACTAAGCCAGATTGGGCGGGATGAAACCAAATTCGGCCAATTAACGACCGAATATACCAGCGCCGAATCTGAATTTAAACAAGAATTGCATCCGGTGTGGGGGGGGGGGATCGGGCTTCTACAGACCTGGGTCAATGCAAACCTGAGTCAGTCAGGCTTTGCAGGATCCTGCAAAATCCTGAAGGATCCTGCAAGATCCGGCGCCCTGGCTGACCCCCGTTTGGATTGACCCCCGTCTCAAGACACCCTGGGCGAGGCGCCGTCTGGACAAGACACCCGCAAGACCCCCGGGGCGAGGCGCCGTCTGGACAAGACGCCCGTGGCGGGGGGGGGGGGGAGGCCACCTGGCAGGACTGCCCCACGGGTGCGCAGCGCTCCCGCCGAGCTCCGCCTGCGTTCTCGGCGGCGTGAAAAGACCGTGCTTGAGAAGTATGTTTTTACTCGCGAAGAGTACGGGCGCTATGGGGGGGAAGGGGGGGGGGCGACGGGGGGGGGGGGGGGCACATCGTAACGCCCCTGCCCCCCACCGTGACAGACCGTGGTACCAGACGCACTGCGGCAGAGCCGGGGACGCACTGGGCAGGGGAGCATCACGTTCTGGGGGGAGGGGGTGGGGCATGGCGCGCGTTCTGGCCCAGGTGGTTTAAAGCAACATCTCTCAGAGGAGCAACAACAACAGCAGCAATAACAGCAACAACAGCAACAGCAACAGCTGGAACAACAACACCAACAACACCAACACCAACATCAACACCAACACCAACAGCGACAACGACAACGACAACGACGACAACAACAACAGTAGCAGCAGCAGCAACAACAGCAGCAGCAGCAGCAACAACAGCAACAACAGCAACAACAACAACAGCAGCAACAAGAGCAGCAACAACAACTACAACTAGAACTGCATAAACATTATTTCCTACACTGTTGGAGCTCCGCGCGGATTTTTTGGATCGGCGCCAGGCCCCCGTCCCTGGCGCGCGGAGCGCGCCAGGAGCGGTGCCGGAAGCGCCGCAAAGGGGGCCCCAGCGCAGATCCGAGAAATCACCGGGAAGCTCCAGAGGTCTGTGTTTATGCAGTGTTTCCGTCTTCGAGCTTTTTTTCCTGATGAAGACGCGCAGCAACGAAGGCCCCTTACACGCGGCCTGGGGGCGAACAACTCCCCTGACTCTCGGCGCCAACCGAAAATCTGATGTACACTGCTGTGCCAGTCCTCTAACCAGGCGTTCCGGTTTTGCCGTCCGTCTGCGAGTGATGTGTTCTTCCTTTTTCGGCCTCTGGAAGTCCTCCTTGTCGGGCCCCAAGGCCGTCCCCGGGGGGGAGGGGCCCAGACTTCTGGGGCAGCCACGCGGGGAGCAACATCGCGACGTCGGGTGTCTGGGGCCGTCTGCGCGCACAAGCGGGGCGGCCCTCTGAGGAGCCCGGAGGCCTCTGCGAAAGCCATGGGGCCTTCGCAGACGCCCTCCCGGCCTTTGGGCAGCCTTGGGGGAGGCATCGAAACACACTCACGCAGACACACACAAAGGCGGGATCGACAGAAACTGTGTCCTCGACGCCCTCCACCCTCGAGCCTCTTCTCCTCATTCTTCCTACTCCGGCGACGACGCGTCCAGATCATCCCCGGGGTGGCGATCACCCCTTCGGGGCCGGAGGACAGGCGGGCTCTCTCCTGCAGCGGCTTGGCGAGGCTCGTCATGACGTCGCCGATTAGGTTGTCGCCGAAGGTCACCGCGAACAGGGGGGCCATGCAGGTGCGCCAGACGCCGCGCATGACCTGGGGGCTGGGTGGGCCCTTACATCCCCGCGTATACGGCGGGACAATTTCAGCCATGTGAGGGGGGGTCCCAAAACCACGTGATGAAAGTTCGCGCGGTGACCGCGAAATCGTGAAACACCTCACCACACCAGACAATTTTGGATTCTCGGAAGCCCCGGGCACCCGAGCCTTGGAGAGCGACCCAAATTTCAAAACCGCGCGGTCACCCCGAATCCCCACTGACTTACCACACGGTGTGATCACCACACCGTCTGGCCCCTCCCCCCCCGAAGTTTTGGTCTCTGCGGGCCCTTACCTGTCCAAGAGAGGGGGGTGCAAATCATGACCGGCGGCATGTGCGCGACCCCAGCGGGGGGGCCTGGGACGTAATGAAATAAGAAGAGGCGCCATGAAATCTGAGGGAACATCATGGCCCCCGCCATGATATCCACCCCCCCTAGTCATCACCCCACTCTTTTCCGCTCCCGAAACATAAACAGCTCAGGATGAAAAGCCGGTCTCCCTGGGTGTGGGGGACTCTCAAGTCTCCCGGGGAGCCACGCGGGGAGCGAAATCGCAACTCCAGATGCCCGGGGGCGTCGAGCGGCTCTCGCGCGCGGGGGTGGTGAGGATGCGTAGGGAGAACGGGAGGCGCAAGGAGAGGTATACCTGTGGTAGCCATTGTTAACCAGCCTCGAAAGTATCCCTATCCCTAAGATGGGCGAGCAAAAAGCGACGACAATCTTAGGGAAAGGCCCTCAGAAACTGAGGGAATCCTTAAGATCGGCATCGAGGTGAGGTGATGTCAAACATAGGGATAGGGATAGGGATATGTTTCAAACTGGTAAATTGTGGAAGGAAGTAAGGACAGGGTAACACAACTGAGAAGAAGAGAGGGGGGGCTTTGAAAACCAGCGCTGGCGCCTGTGGGAGTGGAGGGAAGCTGCAGGGAAGGATCGGCGGACAGATCAAGCACATATGAATACGTATCGTGGGGCGCAGGACAAACTGGTACTGTGCGCCCCCTGGGAGGCGCACGTCCAAACCGAACAGATGATGGTACAAACATCATCGAGTATACAGTCAAAACGTGTATTAAGGACGGGTGATAAGGACGCAAGACCCTTGGAGGCCGAAGTTGGGTTTTTTAGGGCGGCGGGCGACCAGTGATAATGGTAAGGACGGGCTTCAGAGACAAGGACACAAGGGTACCCTAGATGACGGCGCGCGTCCTTACTAGGCGCGTTGACTGTATCAATGCTGGAGCGGGGTGGCCAGAGAGCACTCGCCACCAGCGTGTGCTGCGCGATGTCCGAGCGCGCGCGTCGCTCCTGGGGGGCCGACCCTTTCTGGGTGATGCCGGCATCGGGACACCTCCACAGACACACCCACAACAAGAAACGAGCAGACTCGCTGAACATGCACAGTGTCCGGCTTTGCGCCAGAGCCGCTCACCTTGAACGAACATGGACATCCCCCAGAAGCTTGCAGTCGGGCATTCTCCGATTCCACGAAGAGAAGAAGAATGGAGGTGCAGGCATTCTACGACGTCGTGAATTTCGTCGTTATCTTCATACCCCCAAGAAGGTCTGGATTCCCAAAACGATGCGGTGACAAATCGTGCGGTGACATCGGAATCCTCAACGCCTTCACCGCACGGTCCGTCACCGAAACTTTTTGGGGACCCCCTTATCCGCGTCGAATCCGTGTCTACCCCCCATTTCGGGCTCAATCCGCTTCGAATCCGCGCCGGATCCGCGGCGAGTGCACGCCAAATCTGCGTCGAGTCCGCATCGAGCCCGCGTCGGGCGACCGAAAAGACACCCATCTTGGGCACAGAGGAGGTCCCCCCAGAGATGCAGCTCACCACACGGTGTGGCCACCACACGCCGCTTGGGAGCCCCGAAAGGTGAGCCACCGCCGACACTCCCGATCGCCCCAGCCCGCGGGCGCCCCGCCGCGAAGGATGGGGCACTCGCCAGCGATCGGTAGCGACCCCTTCGGGGCCGCGGGCCTCTGGAGGCCCCGGGGGCGTGGGCATCGGACGTCGTGATTCATCACGTCGGATATCCTCCAGTCGCGAACAAGAAGGTTTCCTGGGCAGCGCTGGCGGACGCTGGCGCGCGGGTCGGCACCAGCGGAGCGCACCGCTTGCCGTCGCTCGGACGTCCATTCCCCGTGCATGTTTTGGTTTCGTGCGTGTTTTTTCTTTGCTCGATGGTCCAGGATGCTCCTCGATGGTTCTCTAGGGGAACAAGCAGTCACATAAACATAACAACTCGGAGGTCCGCGCAGATTTCTCAGATCGGCGCTGGACCTCCCTCCCTGGCGCGCGGAGCGCGCCAGGGGCGGCGCCGGAGGCGCCGCCGGGGAGCCCCAGCGCCGATCCGCGAAATCCGCGCGGACCTCCGAGTTGTTATGTTTATGTCATTGTTCGTTCCCCTATTCTCGCCGAGAAAACATGCACACGTCCGAGCGATGCCAAGACCGGGCGCGCGCAGAGACGAGCGGAAGACGGCGGGAGGCTTTTTCACATTTTTTCGGGCTCCGCGGGGGCCCACGCCGGGCCCCGGGGGCTGGCAGAAGGACCGACTCGAGGTGCAGATCGGGCCCCGGGGGAGGAGGAGGAGGAGGAGGAGGAGGAGGAGGAGGAGGAGGAGGAGGAGGAGGGCCACGATGTGAAAGAAGCCACGACAACGAAGAGGTCAGATGTCCGGGGAGGCCTGGACCTCTCATCGCGAGGCATGGGACCTGGCAGGGGCCCCCGGAGGCCAAAAATTGTCAAAACCCTCCCGTCGTGACTTTTCACGACGCGATGGTGTTAGGGAAGTCGCATGCCAGCTTTCGCCACGTGCGCCGATTCGTATGCAAGCTCGCGCCGCACACTCTACGACGGCCCATGGCAGCGTTACGGAGCTCGATCCACCTTGGACTCAACTTGGCTGGGCAGATAAGTTGGCGTCAGCTGGGCTGTGGCTCGCGCATACCTTACAAATAGCTCTCTAAGCTTGGTTCGGTCGGATTCAGAAGATCCTCGTTGTCAACATTCAACAGATCGACCGAAGTACACAACCACGCTTTCGCCATGTAGCTATCCTGCCAAGCATTACGGTCGCCGTGATACCACAAGGAACGCCGAAGAAGCAACGACGGGGCGTTCCTGGCCGCGGCGAGGGCCGGCAACGTGTCGTTGGCCCGACCTGCATCTTGAAAACGGCCCGAAAACCAGAGTCCCATTCTGAACCCCTGATGGCCTATATTTCAGCGTCCTGACTGCCTGGTAAAGAGTGCCGCCAAAACGACCCCCGTGTGCCTTATGTGTACATCCCGCTGGCGGAGAGGGAACATGACAGAGCACGCAGACCTGGGGAGAGGGCGGTCGATCGCCTCCTCCTCCTCCTCGCCATCCCCCTGGTCCCCCTCACACACTTATCCTCCTCTTCCCCTTACTCGCCTCTGCTACCCCTGCAGCATTACCAGAGCATGTTGTGCCCTCTGATACATAATCACTCTCGAACATCCTCGATGCGAGCCTTCACTCCATCACTCAGCGGATGTGCTCGGCGTACGAGTAGCAGACGAGGATTCTATTGTGCAGCGCGCATGGAGTATATCCCTCTCTGAGGCACCATATCGTCAAGGCCGAAGGTTTACGGACAGGTGCTGCTAAGCTCCTTCTTTAAAGGACTCTACCCAAGCTCAGTTGGTAGACAGGCCATAAGACTGCTCGCCCATGGTGCATGGCATGACGCTGTAGAGGGGGTCAGTGGCGCGCATGTCGGTGTGGATGCCATCGTACCCGAGCCCACGGTCCAGTTGCTGATCTGCCACCGATTCGCGGTGGGGACTTCGATTCCTTGTGCGTGGAGCTCCTTCTCTTACGTACTTCGTTCGAGCACACGCTCAAATCAATTGCCAAGCTGCCAGGCTCTCGAGATGACGAAGCGGCGCGAAGATGTGGCCATCAGGGTGCCTCGAGAGGTCGTCCGAACTGGGCCAGGTAGCCCTCGGACGAGTTCCTCCACTCGAGGACGAAGTCGTCGAGCTTCGCCGCCCAGTCGTAGATCTCGGCGTCCACGTCCGTGTGCGGTCCTTCCTGGTCGCAGGTCAGAAATATTGTTTCTGCAAGGAGTCGGCTGGTGGACGTTCGTGGTCGAAACCAGACCGGTCCCAAGCAATCCCAGATTGCATTCCCAGCGCCGCTGGGCACCATGGGCAACGCTCGTCAGAGCTGCATTTGGCACGCGCGACACAGAGAGGTGATGCCATGGCGCCCGAGAACACTCGCATGGTCGTGTCCCCCTTGGCGGTTACGAGGTCCTGCACGACCGTGACCCGCTCGAAGTCGAAGTCGACGGGGAGGCCCCACGGCCGTACCTGCACCGCCATTCACGAGTCGGTGGCCTTCTTCAACATCTTCCACCTCCAACCTTCACGCAATGCGTGTCCCAATGCTCGCCGTTCCTTCCAGCGCTGCGAGTCCCTCGCCAGAGAAACGGGTGATCAAATCGCTTGGGAGCTACTCGTGCTCCCACGCCCAGGCCTCCGATCTCCGCCCCCACCCAGTCCAGGTCAGGTGGCGGTCGCCATCCGCGCGGGTTTCTTGGATCGGCGCTGGGGCCCCCCCTGGCGGCGCCTCCAGCGCATTCCGTGGCGCGCTCCGAACTCCAGGAAGGGGGGCGCAGCGCAGATGTGTGTGTGTGTGTATCTGCGTATGTGTGTGCGTGCGTGTGTGTGGGTGTGTGTGTGCGTTGTGTGTATGTGTTGTGTGTGCTGTGTGTGAGTGCGCGCGTGCGCGTGCGCGTGCGCGTGTGCGTGTGCGTGCGCGTGCGCGTGCGCGTGTGCGTGTGCGTGTGCGTGTGCGTGTGCGTGTGCGCGCGCGTGCGCGTGCGCGTGCGCGTGCGCGTGCGCGTGCGCGTGTGCGTGTGCGTGTGCGTGTGCGTGTGCGTGTGCGTGTGCGTGTGCGTGTGCGTGTGCGTGTGCGTGTGCGTGTGCGTGTGCGTGTGCGTGTGCGTGTGCGTGTGCGTGTGTGCGTGTGCGTGTGTGCGTGTGCGTGTGCGTGTGCGTGTGCGTGCGCGTGCGCGTGCGCGTGCGCGTGCGCGTGCGCGTGTGTGTGTGTGTGTGTGTGTGTGTGTGTGTGTCTGTGTCTGTGTCTGTGTCTGTGTCTGTGTCTGTGTCTGTGTCTGTGTCTGTGTCTGTGTCTCTGTCTCTGTGTGTGTGTGTGCGTGTGTGCGCGTGTGTTTATTGTGTGTGTGTCTTTTCTCTGTTTCTCAACCCTCCTTGGTTGGGTATTTGTTTAAATAACGCACTGCGGTCGCGTCCTCCTCCTCCCGCCTCCCGCCTCCTGCCTCCCGCCCCCACTCCTTGTTGTCTCCTCTTGCATTGTCTGGGAGGAGTGACCTGCGAAACTGTCGCCACTTTCGAGGGCTGCTGGTGGGTCCAGCGGAGTGAAGCACCGCGCGGATCTGAGCGGGACTTCCCCGTCCATAGGGGGCTGCGATCTGCGAAACTGTCGCCACGTTCGAGGGCTGCTGGTGGGTCCAGCGGAGTGAGGCACCGCGCGGATCTGAGCGGGACCTCCCCGTCCCTGGGGGGTTGCGATCTGCGAAACTGTCGACACTTTCGAAAGCTGCTGATCGGTCCAGCGGGGTGAAGCACCGCGCGGATCTGAGCGGGACCTCCCCGTCAGTAGGGGGCTGCGATCTGCGAAGCTGTCGCCGCTTTCGACGGCTGCTGGTGGGTCCAACGGAGTGAGGCACCGCGCGGATCTGAGCGGGACCTCCCCGTCCCTGGGGGGCTGCGGTCTGCGAAACTGTCGCCACTTTCGAGGGCTGCTGGTGGGTCCAGCGGAGTGAGGCACCGCGCGGATCTGAGCGGGACTTCCCCGTCCATAGGGGGCTGCGATCTGCGAAACTGCCGCCACTTTTGAGGGCTGCTGGTGGGTCCAGCGGAGTGAAGCACCGCGCGGATCTGAGCGGGACCTCCCCGTCCCTGGGGGGCAATGTCATGTTGTTGCTGCCCCGTCGACGTTTCAAGCCCCTTGCCCACCGTCTCCTTTTGGACCTTGCGTCTTCCTTAGTGACTCAGGGTTTCACTCAGCTACTCATCGGTTTTCCCTTGATTGGAGACTTGCGAACCTTCCGAACGCCGCTCGCAGGAGTATGTGCATCCATGTCACGCCGCCGCCTTCTCGTCGACTCTCCCAGGCCACTCCTGCCCCGCACTGCGCAAGGGTTGGGTACGTCGCCAGGGTAATGTTTCACTCTCGTTCTCTCGCTCTTTCTCTCTCTTTCTCTCCTCCAGGCAGGAGGAGGGAGGATGAGGAGGAGGAGATAGGAGGAAGAGGAGGAGGAGGAGGAGGAGAGAGAGGAGAAGGAGGAGGAGGAGGAGGAGGAGATAGGGAGGAGGAGGAGGAGGAGGAGGAGGAGGAGGAGGAGGAGGAGGCCTTCCCCTTGGGCCCGGGGCTCCCGCGCGCGGCCGGAGGGCGAGGCCGCGGGCCCGGGCCTGGGCCTTGTAGGCGCCGGAGCACACGCCGGAGGGCGCGAGCCCCGCGAGCAGCGTGCACGCCAGCAGCGCGGAGGGGTAGAGCACCTAGCAGGGCGTCTGGCCCCGGAAAGCCCCCTCTGACTACCTACCAGACCACCCCAACCCAACCCGAAGACCCGAATTTCGTGTTGGGGGGGGTATGGGCTCCAAATGTGTTTTTTCTATGTTCCCGGACCCCCCCCCACTAGAAATCGAGAGTAAATCTGAGCCTTCGGGTTGGGTTGGGGTGGTTTGGTGGGTGGTGACCCCCTGAGAAGCCAGGACAGGGGCAGAATCGGCCAGGGGAACTCGGAGATCTCCGAGAGCGGGCGGCTCTGGAGCACGTCTTGGGCGCTGCGGCCTGCTCGGAGCGTCCAGGGACGCTCTCCGAGAGCGCCGCGGGACGCTCTGAAGCGATGGGTCCCTGTCCTTGCTCCGCCCGGGGCCTCCACCCTGCAAGGCCCAGGGGCCTCAACCAGAAAAAATCCGCCTTCTTGCCTCTGTCCCGCGAGCCAGGGGTCGCTGCTACAACTGCAGCGCTGACGTCCTCTCAAGGAGGGCCGCGAGCTGCCCTTTTCCTTGCGCCTTCGCCGCGCCCCTCCCGGAGGGTCGGGTCGGACGAAGGGGGGGGCGGGCCAAGGGGGATTAGCAAATCAGCTGCAGGTAGCTGTTCCCCCCGGCGCCTCGCGGCGCCGAAGCCGTCAATGCATCTATGAAGTCGCCTGGCGGCAGGACTGAGGCCAAACGCACGCAACCGATTCCGCAAATCCCTCTTCTCGATCTCGGTCTTCCGTCCGACCCGGCAGGCGGAGGAGGGACAGGCACGGGGAAGGGGGGCGGGAAGGGCGGGGGGGGAGGAGGACAAGGTCTACGCAAGGGAATGGGAGGCGAACAGACCCCGCTTCTCACGCTCCTCATTCGAGCACGCACCCCCTGGACGACGACGACTACGACGACGACGACAACGAGTGGCGACGACGACGACGACGCCCTCGTCCTCCCCGCGGGCGGAGGGCGCACAGTACCGCCCCCCTGTCCCTTCACCCCTCCTCGCTCTTCGTGCCAGGGGCAGGGCTTCCTGCTCCAGGCATCGCCATCCACTGTCTGCGGCTCTCCTCCTCCTCCTCCTCCTCCTCCTCCTCCTCCGCCGCCTACTCCTTCTCCTCCTCATTTTCGCTTCTCCTCTTCCTCCTAGTGAGGCCAATTTGCTGATCGGTATGTCGGGTATTTGGGCTGAGACGTCGGTGGCGCCTTGTGCTCAGGCATTGGGTTCTGGGTCTTGGGCATGTGTGGTGCCTTAACCACCGTTGTTATAGTGATGTTGCGCTGCTGAGTGTCTCTCAGAGCTGCAAGTTGCGTTTGTGAATCTATGCCAAGTACTCCTGGTATTGCCGCTGGTGGTCGCGTATTCTAGCTACGTAGCGCAGTAGTTGCTGGTCGTTTGCGTCGTCAATGTTTGGGTCTCAATGAAGCCGTCGCACGCCTGCATGGGTGCAAGGCCAATTCGTCCGTCTAGGATGGCAGGTGGAGCCGCTGGTGGGAAGTATGCTTGGATGGTCGCTTGTATCTGTGGTGCGCGTAAATCTGGTGTAATGTCCACGAGACATCGCTGTGGCGTTGTTGCTCTGGGTGGTGGGCAGACCACTCGGATCTTGAGGTACGGTGGTGGCGGGTGTATTGGGCTGCAGACAGCACTGTTGCTAGTAGAGGTGGTCTGTAGCCTTGGCGTCAATGTCTCAACTGTATGCTGGTCAGTAGGATGTGCACTTACCGGTTGAATCGCTGGTTCATCTTGGGATGTAGGTGGTGGCGCGGTGTCGGAGTAGACGCTGCTGACGTACGAGTTCATCGCTCATGAGTCCACGATTTTGCTCTCGCTTCGTTTTGACCGTTGATCCTCTGTGGCAGATGTGCCGCATCATGTAGGTTGACTCCTCTTGGCGAGAGTGCTGGGAGACCGTAGTGACAGCCATGGTAGCTCTGGAGTCAAAGGCTGTCGTGGGCATGTTGAACTTGTTGTGGGTGTGCTGGTTGAATAGTAGAACAGGTCGTCGGCACTCCGCGTCTTGATGGTAGAACAGCTCCGCGTCGTCGAGTTTTGCGCCTAACCATAGCCTATGCGATTCGGCTAGTCTGGGACGTGCTGGCGGTGAGAGCATCTCGGAGCCTCCTTCAGGTCCTTCTCTGTGCCGTCGTGGTTGAAGCGGGGCTGCCTGAGTCGCGCACTGCTGTCGCCGATGCCGTGATAGAACTGTGTCCAAATAAGCGACATGATGCGCTAATGCCGTAATTTGCGTCCTCTGTGTTTCCAGATATGAATGGCTTCCCGTCGCGTCTGCACTGCACGTGGCGATAGAAAAAAAGGCCGTCGGAACGCGCGTCTGCATTTTCGGCGATAATGGGCGTTATAACGGGGGAGAGGGGGCGGGGGGGTATCAAATCACGCGCCCCCCCCGCCGTGAAGCTCCGGCACCACAAGACCCCGTTTTTTTTTGTTTCCGGGATAGCGGCCGTCATCGGCTCTGCCCCCTCCCCCCCGGATGGTGGCGTCACGGTCCGCGCCGGCGGCGTCCACGAATGCCTGGGGATGAGCCTGTGTACACCATAGTGCTTGCGTGAATCACAACGCGGGTGTACACCACAACGAATGTGTACACCACATTGCTTGCATGCACCGCAGCGCCTGTGCACACCACAACGCTTGTCTACAGCACAGCATCCGCGTGCAACGCAGCGCTGGTGTACACAACAGAGCCTGCGTGCGCAGGACAGGTAGAAGAGTCAGGTTGACTCGTGGCGTTGCAATCCTAAGAACGGTGCTCCCGCACGGTTGTCTCCCAACGGGGCACGTCCCTCAGTGGAAATGAACACTTGTATGGGGCCTGTGAAGAGGGAGCTTGGACGGAGGGTGTATCCCAACATCGCTGATGAGCCTTGGGTTTACACTGGTCCTCGTCCTCCTCCCCCTCCTCTTCCTCCAACTCCTATCCCTGTTCCTCTCTCCCCCCACCCCCTTCCTGCTCCCTCCCCCTCCCGCATCCAGGTGTGGCCGCGCCACAGCCTGTTCTTCTGCGCTCGGTGCGGCTTCACTGCCACGACCGACCCCCGGTGGCTACTGGGAGGGTGCGGCGAGGCCACCAGAAAAGGAAGCGAAAACCTGGCGCGGATCCGCAGGGGTCTGCACCCAGGCCGTCGAGTCCCCGAGGCTGCTGCTGAATGCGATCTGGGGCGAGCTCGGCGCGAAGCTGCGCGCCGACGCCCCGCGGGAGTCTTCTATCCAGAGCCTTCGGGGTTGCCGTGAGTACTGTCCCACTGCATGTGGGTGGCAGGCAATTCCGAGGCAACTCCTCCCTCCCTCCTTGGGTGGTACGGGATAGGTGACGGGGGCGGGGAGATTCACCAAACCTTGGCGCCCGTGCTGCTAGATACCGCGTGTTTCTGCCAGCAGCTGGTGAGTGCAGCACCAAGCTGACCGTCTCCTCGGCGAATCAGAGCGCAATCCAAATCCCTCCTCCATTCCTCCTCCCTTGACGAACCAACGACACACACACACACACACACACACCCGTACCCACAGAGGGGTCGGAGAGGGCTATGGGTGCGTGTTGTCGAAAGGGGGTCCCCGGGCGAACGGGAGCGTTCCCCAGGGTCCGACAGCCCGCACCCATACCCACAGCCAGTCCTCCTCCCAACGACCCCCCTATGGGTATGGGTGTGTGTTGCTCGTTCTTCCTCCCTCCCCGCACGCGGGGCGGGGGGGGGTGCGCATAGTGCCACGAGGAGCGCGAGTTGTAGCCGCGGGTCCCCACGGCCGGCAGCACCTCTCGCGGGGGGGCGCGCGGCGGAGGCGCCCGCGCCGCATGGCGCCCCCTGGCGAGCCTCGACGGCGACGACGACGACGACGACGACGAAGGACGACGACACGACGACGACCTTGCCGCCGCTCGGACGTCCATTTCCCGTGCATGTTTCGGTGTCGTGCGTGTTTTTTCGCTCGATGGTCCAGGATGTTCCTCAAGGGTCCTCGCCGAGAAAAACATACACACGTCCGAGCGATGCCAGGCGACTGGGCCGACGATGACGACGCCTCCGCCGACGACGACTGCACAACCGACTGCACGACGGGACGACTGCACGAAAATGACGACGACGACGTCGACGGCGACGCCATCGCCGTCGTCATCCCCCCCCTGCTTCCCTCGTCACCATCCCTCCTTGGTATCGATTCCAGGCTGCTTGGTCGCTTGATTTGGATTCGAGCCTCTGGCGGCAACGCCCTCCTCCCGAGGGCGGGCCCGCGGGGGGGGGGGGCAACTTGCCACGACAGCGGCGGCGACAGCACGGCCACTGATTTTATCGCATGACTTGCGCCGCAGTGCGTGGCCACCAGCCGGTGCAGTCCCTTCTCTTCCCGTCGCTCGGACGTCCATGTCCCGTGCATGTTTCGATGTCGTGCGTGTTTCTGTTGCTCGATGGTCCAGGATGGTCCTCGCCGAGAAGAAAGTGCACACGTCCGAGCGATGCCAAGTTCTTTCCTCCCAACATTCGGCGGCGAGCCCAGGGTGGACGTGAGGAGTGCCAGGCCTTCTCAGAAGGCGGCGGCGCCTCTCGGAAGTCCTTAACGGAGGCGGCGACAACACGGTCACACTTTCGTCGCATGCATTGCGCGGATCGTTGTGGCCTCCAGCTGGTGCATGCCTTCCTTGCCTCCCGACATGGCGATGACGATGCTATCATCGCAATCATCGTGACATCCCCACTCGTTGGGCCAGTGGAGGGGCGATGGCGACGACGTCATACCGTCATCGTCCTTCCGCCTATCCCCAAACTCCACCCCTCCCTGCTGCATTCCCCCTTCCACCTCCCCAAATACCTATTCCCTCACCTCCTCGTTTCTCCTGTTGCCCCCACCCCCCCCTTGGGTTCCCTCCTCCCTCCGCCATCCATACTCCTTCTTTCTCCACCCCGTCCAGCTATTGTGTGAGCCTTCATGGGAGCCTCTGTGGACCTCCGCCGCCGTATCATGAACGTAATGTCGACTGGATGTCGTCCAAATTTCGACCACCCTCTTCACCCTTTCGTCCTGATGTCGTTCGGATGTCGTCCACGTGTCGCGACCAATTCCGACGAAATTCCCTAAATCGCAAAAACAAAATACAGTAGAGGCCAGTCCACAAGTAACCTTGAACAAGAAACCCAACCCTGAGACCCCAGGACGTCCATTGATTTCTGGTACGGGAACGGCACGCTTTCCATCCCAAAACCATCGAAGCCCAAGAAACCCAGGGCACCCTGGAGGCAAGCAATGTATTTCTTGGCATGGGCCTCCACTGTAAGACCCTCTGAGGCTCATATGGAGAACAACACAGCAACGTCTTTCCTCCATCCTCCCTGCCAACCTGCCAACCTGCCAATCACTTTTGTGTCCCCGCTCCCCATCCCCATCCGGCTCCGCTCCGCCGTCGTCACGCCGCGCGCTTCCCTTACCATGATATCGGCACGCCCTCCCAGCACCATCCACTTATAGTCGATGATGTACATGCCGAAGAAGACTCGGCCAGGCCGTCTATTGGCCGAGAGGGCGTTTTGGAAGAGGATGGGGGTGGAGGAGGGAGGATGCAGGGCGAGAAAGGAGAGGAAGAGGGGAGGGGAGGGAAGGAGAAGGGCGAGAAAGGGGACGACGACGAGGTATGTCTGGGGCAGGGTAGCCGAAGGCCTTCAGATATCCACAAACTAGTCAACAAAGCTGCCTTCTTAAAGAAGAAGTCGGCGCTGACCCGGCAGCGCGGGTCGACCTCTTGGGTTGGGATCATCTCTTCTCCCTCTTCTACCCAGACTTCTCCGGTTTCCACTATCTCATCCCATTCTCCCTCATCGCTCCACTTCCCCCACGCCCCCTCCTTTATCATCCATCGTCTTCTTCCTTCCCACACTCTCTCCTCCCTTTTCCTCCTTCCCTCTCCTGCCTTAGCTGACGGCGCGAAAGCGAAAGGGTGGATCAGGGCGAGGATCCACAATCGAAAACACGGTGGGAATCACGAATGAAAAGGGGGTTGCTGGTAAGCGACGACGATCAATGATGGACGCAATCCAGGAGCAAGCGTCCTGAAACTGAAGGATCACAACCAAACGCAAAATAACCGTACTGCGATGGTGGGACAACAGCACGGAAGTGCATCGCCCCACTGCGAGCACACGAAAACCAATGACGACTTCCAACTCACGAAAACCCGAACCAACATAACTAAAACACGGAACACAACCTCCAAACTAACAAGGAAAACGAAACCAGTAGCCTAAAACAAATCTCGGGACGAGATGGTTATCAACCACCGTGCCGTAAACACTGAATTGAAGACTCACAATTTCGTGTAGGTCCTCGATGTTGCATCCTGTAATGCTCCATGGAAAACCAGATCGACACATTGCCCGACTTTCGTCGGTGTTCCGCGGAAATTGCCGGTTGGGTGGCTTTCCCAGAGGCTCGGGGAGCGTGGTTGGCAACACATACTTCCAACGTGGCTCGGGTCCCGTCCTGGGGTCGCCTTGGAGGCGGAGGCCGGGTCAGGGGTCAGGGTCGGGGTCGCAGCATGCGCCGGAGCGCGCCCTGCGCGGGCCGCTGCGCGCGCGGTAACACGCGAGCCTCTCTGCTGTTGCCACCCCTTCTTGACAATTCCCACACGCGCCTTTTGTTGACAGATTCTCACATATCCAATTGATCTCGGCGTTCTCACACTCGGCACATAGTTTATCGCAGACAGGTGAAACCATTACTCTTGCAATTCTCGCGCGCGGCACAGAAAGTATAACGACAATTGTAGCAGACAAGACAAATGATGCTTAGTAATTCCATCCCCTTGCAGATCGTCCTGTTGTCCTCCTTCAAACAGGGCCCCGCTTCAGTGCAAGGGTCCCCCAGTGTCGGCCCTTGAATGTCTGAAATTTCGCGAGGGGTCCGGCCCTGCGAACCTCCTGAGCTCGCAGCCAAGTTGGAAGACCACATTTTTCGAATTCTTGCTCAGTGCGATGCGTTTCCCGCAGGATCCAATCAACGTACGACTTGTCTGGCGCCCTGCCAGTGCCAGCGATCTCCCTGAACATCTGTTGCATGGCCACATTCATTGAGCTTCTGTGATCTCGCCGCAGCGAGCGCCCACGCACCGCTGCCGCGCATAACTGCAGAGGACACGGCAGCATCGAACAATCTGAGCCTATCCCTCCGCGAATAGCGCATGTTGCACAGGTAATCTCCAAAAATCAACTGTTTGCCAAGGTACGCCGTGATGTCATCCACCGGCAACACCTCGACCTGTCCTCCACCAACCTGTACGTGACGTTGTCGCAACGCGCCCTTTTGGTTCTGCACGTTTGACAAGATCATGGCCTCCCCCGGTGTGGATTGTCAGGCCAACTTCAGCTGCGGCTTCGCTCGGATCTCCTAGCGCTATTCGAACTTGCGCCCGGGTGGATCAAAATAGAATGATGTCGTCCGCAAAACGTCATTTCGTCAACGTCTATGGCAGCACTCTGAAACCGAGCCTGGACGCCCCGCACTTCTCCGTCAGTTGTTGCCTCAGCGATTCCAGCACTGCGTTGAATATAAGTTGGCGAAATCGGGTCTCCCTGCCTGGCCGCTCTTCTTCTGACAAACGCGCGGCTGCGGCGGTCAGAATCCGCCTGCCCCGTGTGATTCGCGCGTGAACGTCTCGACGCCTGCGCGCAGGGTTCCGGAACGCCTTGCTGGGCGCATGAGAAGCGCCCCCCGCCCCCCGCATGAAGAACTTTCGCGGGGCCAATAGGGCCGTCGAGCGACGCGCGATTTGAAGGCGGAAGCTGCTCGACGGTCAGCCAACGACAACGCCGCGACGTTCAGTGCGGGCGGCGCGCTGCTGCCGTGCTCATTGGCATTCGAACTCGGCGTGCCCTTATGCCTGCGCGCGGTCAACGCCCAAAAGCATGGTGGACATTCGCGCGCTCGTGCCAGGGCAAACGCCGATGGGCGCGTAGGCCCTGGGCTGCGCAGGCAAGAGCCCCGCGCGGCGCCCGGGGCCCGCCCTGCACGGGCGCGCATCGAATAGTTTCGATCCACCCCAAAAACAAAGTTCCGGCACCAGGCGAAAAAATTAAATAAATCCACATATAAGCAATCTGAGCTTTCCCGGAGCAGAAAGTCTCGCGCGGGAGAGCTCGGAGAAGCTCATAAACAAAAAGCGCGTTTATAGAAACGCCGGGAACAATTTTAGATTGGCCAGATTACCTCAAAGGAAACGCTCCCGATCTAAACTTTTCCGCCGGCGGGGTCAGGGGGGGCGACGGAGGCGGGCGCGGGGGCCCTCGGCTGGGCCAGCGGCGCTGCCGCGTGAGGGACAGCGCCGCCGTCGCCTCAAACTGCGAGCCGCGGCCGCGGCACGCGCCGCGCCGCCCAGGGCGCGCCGGCGCGGGCGCGGCCGCGTCGAGCGGGCCCGGGGCGTCGCCGCGCGCGCGGGGCCCCCCTGCGGCAGCTGGCAATGATCTCGCCGGCGGAGCGCCTGCACTGACGCTCATTCGCCGAAAATGCAGAACGCTGCCGTGTAAAATCCATAACTGCGGGGGCTGGGGTCGGTTTCCCACTGTTTACTTGCTCTGTCAAAGCATTCCAACTGGCCGAGTGGTTCGCGGAATCAAGCGCCTTTTCGAAATCAACTGCAGCGACCCAGACGTCAATGTTGAACTCCCTTTGCCTTCTCAACATTAAGCGCCAACGTCGCCGGATGATCTTCGCATCTGCATCCTTTCCGGATGCCCGCTTGGTCAGCGGACCGCTGGCCCCCCCGGAAGGCCTCCGAACGTCGGTCCAGAACCATTGCAAACAACTTGTATATAATTGGTGAACTTGTGATGAAGCGGCATTTTGCAGGTAGTTTCGGGTCGCCTTTTTTGAACAAAACCTTCGCGCAATTGCGCCTCCACGAATCTGGCGGCGCATCCCCGCGCGCCAGGATGCTCGTGGAGACGTCGGCCAGCACCTGCTTTAAGTACTCCTCGCCAACTTTGAACATGTCGGCGACGATCCCTTTGGAGTCTGCTGCCTTCCCTCTCTGCAGCTTTCTCGCGTGGTTGTCAATTTCGTCTGATGTAACTGACGGTGCATCGAGCGTCTGCCTGTGTCGCCGCCCGTTCCTTGCTCTTCCCCAGCACGATGCAACTCCTCGTAGAAGCCGCCGAACACGTCAACGATGCCTTGCATATCCGAGCAAACGTTTCCACCCTTATTGATCCGGCTAGTGAGCTTCATTTTCTTGATATTATTGCGGGTGTCTTTGATGCGCTCCATGTTATTGAATTCTGTCAAGATCTCATCAATATTCTCCGTCTTCCGCTGGCGCTCACAATCTCGAAATGCTCGCTGGAGCTCCTTGCGTGTCTCTTCCATCGGTCTGTGTTCCCCTTATCCTCCACGTGCAGCTCGTTTCTCTCACATCAGATTCAAGATGTTCGGCGGCAATTTTGCACGGTCGTTCTCTGGCTGCTCTGCGTTGCCCCCTTTCTGCATCACAGATGCCTTCAAACACTCTTCCAAACTTGTCACACGCTGCCGCTGCATTTGGTCGTCGCCCCTTCTGTTTGTGTTTTTGTACTTGATCGTATGGCGACTTCAACGTCTGCCGCATAACCGACTTGAGGTCGAACTTTGAATCCTCGAGGTCTCGCCGCCTGCGCGCTGCGACGGCCGCCTTCCTGCTCTTACGGCAACTTCAAACGCAAAATGAGTGCTCTGCAGTCTGCCCCGACCCCAGAAACACACATTTCTTTCGCCCGGCGGTAGACCCAGACGAAGTTGATCTAACGAACGCGAACGCTATTGCTGTGAGTTCATGTACGGCTGTCTTGCATGGGATAATCTGTGTTGGTAGCTGAAACCGACTCTCTGCCAGGAAAAGCGGCCAACGTGTCTCCACGCTCATTCCGACCCCCCACTCCGTGGTCGCCAATAAACTGGCTGTCGCGCGAATCGTCGCAGGTGCCCAACGCGGCGTTCCAGTCGCCCCCCGCGACGAAAATCAGGCCTTGCCGCGCCGCCTGCCATCGTAAGCGTTCTAACTTTGCGCGCGCGGCCTCAGCGTCTCATCTGGATATGTGGCATCAGACAAGCCGAAAAGACCAGTGTGCCAAGTAAATGTCCAGCCGCCACATACGATCGCCGTTTGTCGAAAATGACGATATGTCGGAGGCCCACCGCCCATGCACCAAAATTGCCACACCACTTCGATTGGTGGCCCGTCCGGCCCCTATGAAAACATGTCCGCCCTCAATTACGAGCTGTTCTTCCTCTGCAGACCTCCACTTTTCATTTGCGAAAACAACGCCCCAAGTGCCCAGAACAGATAATTCAGCCAACAGCTCTTGCAACCGATTTTCGTTCTTGATTGACTGAACGTTCTCCGTGAAAAATCACAATGTTGTACATGATTGCGCGTTCCCTGTCTCGTGCTTACCTTCTGCCTTTCCAACTGGTTCCACTCCCGCGCGCTGCGCTGTAAATGACGCCGTTGCGTCGCGACCTCCCGGCTGCGCCCGCGAGAACATACAAGCAGGAATGTCACCATCCATCGTTCTTTAATTACCCCGTCCTCCTCCGCAGCTCCTAAGTGCAGATGGATAGCGATGCAAAAACTGAGCGTTTGTAAATGACATGATTCGTGCTATCTTTCCCACGGTACTGTTGGTCAAGCGCGTGCGTGCGCGCGCCCACGTGCCCTACTCGTCGTCACCTCTCCTCCCGCCACGCTGCTCAAACCACTCCTCGATCTCTGCCTGTGCATTATCTTTGATGTGTTTCCAATCCTCCGCTGGCTCGGTCACTGCATTGTGCGCGACGGTCGCCACAATTTTGCCCTGTAACTTGACCACGCCTTGGTGCCAAAGAATGCGGGCGAGCTCGGAGTCCTTCCCAAATTTGTCAATGAGATGCCCCTTGGTCAATCCAGGTGTTATATCTCGTCCCCGTGCCTTGAAAGTTCGTTTATCAGCAAACCAAAATTTGGTCTCCCCCCATCTGTCTGTCGACGCTCCCCGGATGCGCTGGTGCAAGCATTTCTTCGCCGCATCCGTGGTGAACTGGATGACTCCGACGCGGGCCGGATCCGTGAACGAGAACACCTTCTGCACCATAGTCATCCAGGAGTTCTCCTTCAAGAAACCCTCCACCTTGGACTTCAACTCCTCCTCCTCCAACTCCTCTGGGAAGCCTCCGACGATCACCTGACGAGATCTGGCATCCTCCTCCTCGTTCTCCTTTTCTGCCGCCATTCCCTGCCCCGCCAGCTGCACGCGCTCCATGTCCGCACGGAGGCTGCGAGCCGATTCCATGGCTGAGCTCGCCATCTCCGAGGCCCTTCGGCCTGCAATCGCACGGCCTTCACTTCCTCCGTGAGTTTCGCCACCTCCCTCCGCAATGGCCCCAATTGCTGCGCAAGCATATTGGGGATCGCCCGAATCTCGTTCATCAAACGTCCTTCCATGTCCTTATCTCCTTTCCCCCCTTCCTTCGTCATCAACTCGTCCTCGTCATCATCCCATGGGTAGGTGCCGGCGCTTCGGTCGAAGCCCGATGCTCTGCCGATGGGTTGCCGTTTGCCTCTCTTCCTTTCCGGCGTGCCCCCCATTGGATGTTCACGCTTGTCGGCACGGCATGATCCACAGACGTGCCAACAGCATGCTTCACAAGCCCATCGTCGCGTTCCACCTGGGAAGAGGCCCCCGCAGGTGTCGCACGCGATATCTCGCCACTCCAGCTGCAGAGCGCAGACAATCCAAAAACAAGAAATAATGCAAGTATCGATGAAAGCCTAAGCCCAGATGGGAAACTTGAGCCAAGATGTATCTTGAGGCCAGCACAAGAGTCCAATATTATTGGCACGCCAGAAGTTTCTGCAAGGGCGTTTCAGAACGACCCAAGAGGATCCAAAGATGGTACCAAGACGGTCCCGAGGTCCCCGAGAGGACAAAATAGGGCCCCCAAACAGCCCTGAGTGTGACCCAAGAGGGGAAGCTCGGAGTAACATTTCGAGCCCTTGCCAACCGAGACCGCCAAGAGACCCCCCTGAGGCTCCTCAGAACCCTCCACGACACCATGAGAGACCTCCAAGAGGTCCCTAAGGGCCCCTCAAGAGGCCTCCCATGAGACCCTGAAATGCATCTGAGAGGTCTCTTCACCGCAACCCAGACACGAGGTCGGAACGTCCCGACTGCCACTGTCTACACTAACTGAAATTGAGCATGACCTCAACAGGGGCAAAGGCACAACACTGTTGATTACGGTAACGGGGGGGGGCGAACACCGAGGCAACATCAGATTACATTCTGATATGCTGGGAATGCGAACCATGATGGTATGGGAGTCCGGTGGAGTCCAGAGGGTAGAGTTACTTCTGCAATAACAACCTTAACCAAACAACGTTGGTCCACAGAGCTGCTGTTTCTTAGTTTCCTCAAGTCCCCTCCGCCACATTCCTCAACATCGTTCCTTCGCTACTTCCCCTGTGCATTCGGGACAGATGTCCGTGGATCCTCGAGGCAGCTATTCGACAAGCTCGCTCCGCTGTAGTGCCTGATCGTGGTGCTGCAATCGTTCCGCACTCTTCGCACGGTCCTCCGCATCCCCGCGTGCCCCGCGCGTCTGCCTGCAAGATGAACATGTGGTTGATGTGGTTGTCGCGGCACAACTGGGAGGAGGGATGAAAGACATCCGCATCGCAAACACTATGCCGACTCCAGACGCTCTGCGGGCACACTCGCGCGACCTCTTCGAATACCTGAGCATGTTCTTAGGGTGGAGGGCTCAGGGTGAAATCCACATGGGCTTCCGTTTTGTGATTCACCTTTTGCAGATTCAAGACGCGAACATCCATCGAAGCGGTATTTCAGATTTCACCCTTTGCCCCCTCCACCCAAAGAAACTGCTTGGGACAACGCCTCTGAGAACTCGGAATGGAACGGCAAAGGGGCACTTACCGGAACGCGATAACCCAACGGGAGAACTCAACTTGTGACTCGGCGCAACGCCGCGCGAAACGCAACGTAAAACCTGCCGGCTGCCCTCGCGGCCCGTGGAGGCCACTGCAAGGAAGCGGAATGGCGTTGGCGCGGGGCGTGCTGCAATCACGGGCGAACAAACACAGCCCCAGATCGCTGTGGCGCTGGTCGCAGAAGAGTCCCACTGACGTTGCTTCTCCTCTTCTCTTTCTGCTCCCCCGTGTTGAGCAGCATGGCCATCCGTGGATGGGGGGGAGACGTCATCTGATCAGGCACGCCAAAATTGCCAAGAACATCAATCAAGAACAACTCATTGGGCCCAAACCGACGAGATCATTTCCATTGGCCCCCTGACACAGACCCCGCTGCTCGGCCACAGGGTGCGGCGATGACTCGGCATAAGCGCTTTCGATATGCATGAAAGCCTGTATGAATATGTGAGTACTCGTGTGGGCACTCGTGCATATACACCTGGGTATGGATGCCCAACAGTGTCAAAATTAGTGATCGAATTCATTGTCTTGTGCGCGTGCGCGCGCCAGGCTGGGGCCCCTCAACACCTGCGTCATTGTGGATTCCCTGAGCCAAAAAGCACTTCTGAACATGCGGCCGACTCCAGAAGCTATGCATGCCCTGGCGCATTAGTGGGCCCTGGAAACGACAAGGCCGTTTTTGTTACCGGTTCCGTTTTGCAAGATTTCAACCGGTTCCGACGCCGTTTTTTTTACCAATTCCGTCGCCGTTATTTTCGGGTTCCCGCTCCGGTTCCAATCATGGAGCCGTTTTTGTTGCCGTTTCCGGTCGCCGCTTTTCTGCCGTTTCCATCTTCGAGGGACACCTTTTCGGAAACGGTGAAAAACGGCCCTGCCGTTTCCGGGGCAAGCCTGGCGCTGGCCCTTCCGGAAAGAGCTGTCCGGGAGGGCCAGTCGAGACAACTGTAGCTCTCCCGCCCGGCCCGAACCGCTAAAATGAGGGGGCCCCAGGACACACAAATTAATACACGCAAATCAAAAGATTCTCCATATTTCCCCATATCTTCTGGGTCTCTGTCTTCTCCCCCACTTCCCATAGTTCCCCATATTTCCCCATATTGTCTCGACTGGCCTAACCAGCCTCGAACGTATCCCTATCCCTAAGATGGGCGAGCAAAAAGCGAGGACAATCTTAGGGATAGGCCCTCAAAAAACTGAGGGAATCCTTAAGATCGGCATCGAGGTGAGGTGATGTCAAACATAGGGATAGGGATATGTCCCAGGCTGGTAATGGCCCTCCTCCGGTGCTGCACTTGGCTTCCGCCCGCTCCCGCCACGAGCTGCCAACGCCACCACGTGCGGCGGCCCGTGCCGGGCCCCCGCCGGCGCGCCAGAGGTCGGCTCCGCCGCGGTCCCGCGGAGGCGAGGCACGTTTGGCCGAAGGGCCCCATTGCGCGTCTGGCGGATTCGCGTCGCGATCACGTGGGCGCGGGGCCCTGACACCGCAAACCCAGACCATGGTAGGGAAACGAACTCTATATGCACCGACGCTTTTACCGACCCTGCGCTGAGATTCGCACAGGAACGCGGATTCTGGTGTATACGGGATCTTGGTGCATACATTTTTCGCTGCTTCCCTTGGAAAACGGGGGAGAAGTAAAAACAACACCACCCCGACGTCGTCCCCGACCCTTACAAAGTCGTGGGATTGAGAAACAACCCGCCACTGGTACGCGTCGGTCGGAAGAAGTAGGTCAAAGCATGAAGCAGGAAGGCTGATAAAGTGGACTGTGCCCAGGCCCTCCCAGAAAACAACAACATACAGCAACAGCATGCCGATTTTTTAAGCAGGCAGGCGCTTGAAGAAGATTGCGATCTGGGAATCCAAAGATCGGGGATCCTCTGACCCGGGTCAATCCAGACCCGGATCAGCAGGAAACCAAAAACTGCAGTGCAGGAAAACAAACTGCAACGCAGGTCTTCGCAAACCCAGGTCAGCCAATATGCGCGGCCGCCTCGCGGCCACGAGCGGCTCGCGAACCCGGGCCAGCCAGAGGGGGCCTTCGCAGAATCGTGCAGGACCTGGCGCTCTGGCTGACCCCCACTTGCACTGACCCTCGTCTCTCAGGCCCCGAACAGATACCCACATTTGACGACCGGCACTGTAGTGTACACCTTGGGCGATGCTTAAGAAAACTTAAATGTTCGGCCAAAGTCTCGATTATTCTTAATGTTTCAATGTGAATCCTAAGATTTGAATGGAAATGTTGGGTTTTTATTCAAGTTCTGAGACTATGAATTTCTTAACCCATGATTTCTTAAGCATTTCGCAGGGTGTATACCTTCCAGCTGGCGGCACGGAGCACCGGCCGAGCCCAGGCCGCGGGCGGCCCTCGGCCCGGAGCGCCCGCGGAGGGCGCCGACCCGCCGCGCTGGCGCGGCGCGGCCCTGCCGTGCGCACAGCGCCTTCGTCGCCGCCGCGCCGGCACGACGCGCCCCTACCGTTGCGGACACCCTCATCCGCCATCAACTCACGACCCAGAGACCATCAACAGCGACACACCATCACCTGTGAAGAGAAAGGATTGCAACATCACCCCGACGGAACGAATGACCCCACAACCAGTCTGCCCCTACAGAACCGTCGTTGGCACACCTGGGGAAAAAATCATCGGCGCCACCATCACGGAAGCACCCAGCGCCGACAACACGGAGCGCACGTGCACGAAGAACGAAGAGGGCCACTACAGTCAAAAATCCCAATAAGGACGCGCGGTAAGGACGCAAAACCCTTGGAAGCCGAAGGGATTTCTGGCGCCCAAGGACGCAAGAGCAGGGAAGAGCAAGGACGCAAGGGTGCTCTGAGCAAGGTCGCGCGTCCTTATCAGGGTTTTTGACTGTACCGCTGCGGACGAGCAGAGTGTGCGCCCAGAGACGAGCGCGTTCCACTACTCGCAAAGCCACTGCTCGCACATGACCTGGATCGCCGCGGGGGATCCACGACAAGTTCTGTCGAAGCAGACATGTATGTTTCGGACGTTTGCGAGTAGGCACGTTGCGAGTAGTGAAACGCGCTCGGTGAACCCAGGCGGTGGCGGCCGCGGAGGAGGAGTCAATATGACACGCGCCGAGGACAAGATGCAACCGTAGAACCCGATAAAGGATCCCCCCCGTTATCGGTAGCACCCCAAATTCATTCAAGGGGGGGGCGACCGCCGAGCGAGATCGTTAGCACCACGACGAATTGATCTATTCAGTAATTCCGCGGGGGGCGGGGACGGTGGGAGTGCGATGAGTAAGACAGCCCAAGAGAGGCCTCGAGACACTCGCCGACAGTCCAGATCCCCGAGACTGCCCTCCTACAATATTCAGATCCTGGGTTCCTCTTTGAACAGTTTCAGAGCCCGATGGGGATAAGAATGGGATATCACTGGGTTCATGTTGCAACTCTCTCGGAGGCTCATTGGAATCCGATTGGGTCTAGTTGGAATCCTATTAGGAACTCGGTGGGATCCCGCACTGCGGGGCCTCGGGGCGGGATATCTCTTCCATGTACGAGAAGCGATACGTCTTCGCCGAAAACGCAGGGGGGATCATTCATTGCTTCCCACGCTTACTTCTGGTATGGCGCTGGCGGCCTCACCGCACACACGTCCGTCTCCCATCTCACCAAACATCCGACGTCGCATTTTTGTCCGCAACGCGGCTCCCCAGAGGTCTGGAGCCCCTCCATGGCGCCGGCTGTTCATCCGAAATACTTCTCTTGACGGTCGCGTGGCCTGGTGAGGCTCCCCCAGGCAACAAAAAAACTGTAAAAAGCCCGCCGTCGTGATTTCTAGCGTCGCGGAGATACCCAGACCTGTTCTGGGGTCCGTTCTGGCCAGAATTCCGAGGCGGATCCAGCCGTGGCGACGAAGAGCAGCCTCCTCAAGGTCCACAAGGGGTGTAGAAAACCCAACTCCGATCCCGAACCTCGAACCCCGACGGTGCGCCGAGGCGGGGACAGGGCCCAGAGAGGAGCGGCTGCACGCAAGAGCGACCCCAGGCAAGAGTGGCCCCCGAAAGGCCCGAGGGTGATGGGCGTGTTTTCCACCACCACCACCATAAGTTGGAGGGGGGGAGGAGGAGGAGGACGAGGAGAAGGAGGACGAAGAAGAGGAGGAGGACCCCCTCCCCCTCCAACTTATGGTGGTGGTGGTGGAAAACAGGCCAATCAGCAAGAGCGACCCCAGGCAAGAGTGGCCCCCGACAGGCCCGAGGGGGGAAGCCGCAGAGGCAAACCCGAGCGCGCAGGCCGCTGCCGTCGCGTCGCGCTCGGCGCCCGGGTGGCCCCAGCGGGCCCCCACCGAGCGTCGCTCTGGCGAAGGCCCTTCGCCGGAGCGACACTTCCAGGGGTCACTTCGCTCCGCGAAGGCCCTTCGCCGGAAGAGTGCCCCTTCAATTTGGAGGTAGGAAAGGGGTATGGTGTAAAGGGGTGTGGTGCTAATTTTAGGTAAAGGGGACTCTGGCGATGTTATTTGTCGCAGATAGCATCGCCATTTCCACGATTGGCACCATACCCCTTTATGCCACACCCCTTTCCGACCTCCAGATTCAAGGGGCACTCTTCACCGCACCCGGAGAGGCGCTGCAGCAGGCTGCCAGGAGTGCCCGGGTGCGCCGTGGGGAGGGCCGCCGCGGCGCCCTGCCGCCCCCCCGGGCCGCCGCCGCGAGCCTGCGCCACGGCGCCCATGCCCCACAGGCACAGCAGCACTGCGGGGGGGGGGGGGGCGCGGGCCGTGTGCGGGCCCGGGCCCGGGCCCGCTCCACGGGCCTCGCCCGTCGCCCCGGCCCAGGCGGCCCTCGCCGGCTCCTCGTCCTCCTCCCCCACTGCGCTCCTCCCCACACCCGCTCCTCGCTCCACGATCTGCCTGCATCCTCCCTCCCCTTTCCTCCCCGCCCCGCCCCCGCCCTCCATCCCTCCTTCTCCCTCGTGTGCTCCTCCGGCCAGCATGAGGGGGAGGTGAGGTGACTGAGAGGACGGCGGCGAGGTGTAGGACGAGGATCGCGCGCGGCAGAGGAAGGAACAGGAAGGGGCGGACAAGGGAAGAGAGGCGAGTCGGAGGACAACCATCCGACTGCGCCACATTGGCCGCCAACCTGCAGGTCGCATGGTAGGAGGAAAAATATGACGAGGAGCAGGAACCAATAAAGAAAAGAGGAGGATGAGGGAAAAAGCCGGAGGGGGTGGGGGAGGGGGAGGAGAAGGAGTGAGGAGTGAGAAGGAGAGCCTCGGGCCCAGAAGGCCGCGGCAGTGTGCTAGCCCTAGGGGGGCCAACCTCGACTATAAAACCGTCCATTTACCATCCACTGTTACATCCATTTCTAAGCCATACCCTTTTTACATTCCTTTTCGACAACATCATCTTCCCCTCAGGACACCACGACTTCGTCGGCTAATCCAGCATGGCCCCGTCGGCTACGCGAACAGCGAGCTCAAGCACAAGTACTGCTACGAGTCGCCTCTGCACGAGACCTCCTTGACCACGAGATTCTCCACAGGCTCTACACAGCGCGCCAGCTCCTCGCCGCGCACCACAGCGTCCAGCAGCCACCTCGGTATCCACTTAACGCTCCAACCATGACGACATCATGGTTGGAGCAACCGCGAGCGGACTGGGATTGGTGCAACCACCGTGGAGATCAGCATCGAGCCGCCAACGATCCAGAAATAAAACAAAACAAGGCCCACTACATCAACCATCAATGCAGGACTCGAACGCTGGCAAAACGACAACTGAATGGACCAATAGCCCGACAACCATCCGCAAAATCCTGGAGCCTGAACCTCAACGGGAAGGGCAATTACCAGGACGGCAAGAGGAGGAACGACCACCAGGATCCCGCCAGCAAAAACCAGAAAGGTAAGGGAAATAATAACAAGAGAAAAGGGCAAGACCCAACCCGAAAGGAAAAGACGCCAAAGAAGAAGGACGACGGCCAGAACCAGAACAACAACTACAACGAACACATCACCAACACGATCAACAACGGCATGCCCATGAGGAAAATCTACGCCGTCAGGAGGCACGACTGGGAGCTACCTCCCAACGACAACAAGCTGAGGGACGAATGGAAGACGATCAAACACGCGAGGAACGAAGAGCGGCAGCTGCTGTCGGCAAAAACAGTGCAGCAGGCTAGCCTACTACCGACGCCGTCCCACAGATCGCCTGCATCAAAGCGATGGTCCTCAACAGCATGCCCTTGGCCCAGCAGGCGAGGGAGATCGACAATACCAATAGGACCATGGAGGACTACTACAAGCATTCCAAGATTCACTAGTAACGGGTAGCGATCTAAATTACACGAACGAGATCGAGAACAAACTTGAGGAGCTTACCACCGTGCAACGCGAGAACAACGATGCACGATGATTTGTGGTCGACAACGACACACAAGCTGCAGTTGGCAAAGCGGACCAAACACACATGCACGTGCCAGCGAGAAGATCGCCTACACCATCACCAGCACCAAGGAGGCAGACAATGGCAGGCGAAGCCACAGCCGGGCGGAACCTGGACACCAAGCTCAGGATGTTGGAGGACAACCAGTGCATGGCCAAATACATAGAGAAAACCAATGCCAAAGCCAACGACGAGATCAACAGCCTCAAACTACACCTCCGTGCCGCAGAGGAAGCTGCACGCCGACATGAAAAGGACCATCATCTTGAGGCGGCACGGGCCGAGAACTATAACAACGAGCTGAAGAAGGAGATGCAAAGTTCAAAGCAGGCTACATACTAAATGGCAGCACACCACGAGAACATTCAGATCATCAACGCGGATAAACTCAAACGGGCGGAGGCGGAAATCGAAGCCATGAAGAGATCTCCAATTGATGCAGGGCATCAGTCTCTTACACCAAACGGCAACCACCTGCAGAAGCAGCTCCAGGAACTGCATAAGAAACATGCCTATAGGAACCACAGGCGAGACAGCGTGGGAAAAAACTTTGAGACTCGGGAAGATGGCAGCATAAAATACATACGCACCAAAAAACAATGATGATATTTCCAAAAGGTCATTACAGACATGCGCAACTACGAGCAGCAAGTGAATTACAATGCTCTGTAAGGTGAAAGACAGGTCCATCTCGCACTGCATTGAGCTGATATGGGCACAGTAGAACACCATGAAGCCTTTCAACATGAAAAACAAACTTATCGCCACAGAGAGACGCAGTGAACACTCATTAAGGAAACGCACGAGAGGAGGACGAATGAACCTACTGAGGAGTTCCAATACGCCCGAAAGTCGGATGTCTTCTCCCAGCAGCGCCTCAACAATGTCGAGATGGTCGACGTCATCAACCAAGCTTTCAACATGCCGATCGCTACGGACGACGAGGACCTTACAGCCGCCACGAATACAATTTCCCCAACCGTCCAACCACTTCAGCATCCACTGGGGGATGGAGAAACACAAGACCCAGACACACCGACAAAATGCTCCGCGAAGCTGGCGTACATGCAGCATTCGTATCGCAACCTTGTAAGCATCCTCAGAGGCAGTACCACATGTGCACTCCGCGAAGGACACAGAGAGGCACGACTACGCCGCCAGGAGAACCTCAAAGACCGACGAAATAGAATGGCCAATCGGTGTCCCATCGGTGTCCGGTTGGAGTCCCGTCGGTGTTCCGTTGGTGTCCCGTTGGTGTCCCGTCGGTGTTCCGTCGGCGGAGGGCGGGCGGTAGCCAGGGGTGTCCCGCCTTCGTATCGATAGTGAAGTCGATAGTGAGATGATAACGAGATCGCGAGAATGGGATGGATAGTGAGATAATAAATGAGATCGACAGCGAGGTTGTTTGTGATCTGGATTGTGAGATTGATCGTGAAATCGATAGTGAGGTCGAACGAGGACTCGATAGTGAGCTCGATCGAGATATTGATAGTGAAATCGAAACCGAGATCTAGAGAGAGATCGAAGGCGAGATCTGTAGTGAGATCTACGTGATCGATCGAGTGTGATCGATCCAATGAGGTTAATAATGGGATCGATCGAGTGAGATCAGAACTGGGAACGATAGTGGCATTACGTCGCAGCGCAACATCGTCATCACGCGTCGTCACAAACTCGAGGGCAGGTCACCAGCATCTTCATAATCACACCCATCGCAATAGCCAACAATTGATTCCTTCCCCACCAACCCCCCGTCCTCCTCATGACCCGAAGGGTGGTCGTGCAGGTAAGATTGTGGGACACACAAACCAATACACACAAATAAAACGATTCCTCATATTCTGCCACATGTTCTGGGTGTTTGTCTGCCCGCCCAATTCCCACATGTTCGCATATTTTCCTGGGAATCGACGCTTCCTTGTGTCTGTGTGTGTTTTTCCCCTCCTGAAAGATTGAGCCCGTGCCCGGGCACGCACGTGCAAAACCTTCACGATCTCAGCCCGCTCCGCCGGCCACGGCCTCCCTCCTCTGTGCCCTCCGCGCTCCTCCCGCCTCCCTGCCGTGCCCAGCGACTGCCCCGCGCAGTCCCCGCGCCAAGCCCCGCGCAGTCCCCGCCGTCCCGACCGCGGCTCGGAGCCAGGTCTCCGCGGACGTAAAAAGTGCGCGCCCTGCTCATCCCTCCGTCCTGCCACTCCTCCAGCTCCTCGCCCGGCCGCCCTCGCTTCTCTCTCCCTCCTCCTTCGATCGTCCTCCTGCTCCTCCTGCGCTCTCCCCTGCTCCTCCTCCTTCTCCTCTTCCGCCTCCGGATCTCCTCGGTTTCCACCCCGTGGCCTCTGCCCGCGTCAGCGCACTCGTCACTCCGACCGCACGCGCGTCCGAATCCGGCGACGGAAGGAGGCGGGCGCTGCCAGACAACACCACGCGGAACACGGCGAAGCTGGACAGGAAATACGACTGGTTGAAGGTGCCGTCCTGGCCCCTCATCTCCTCATCTCCTCCTCCTCCTCCTCCTCCTCCTCCTCCTCCTCCTCCTCCTCCTCCGTCTTCTCCCCCCTCGGTTTCATCCCTCGTCTTCTCCTCCTCCCTCCTCCAACTCATCTCCTCCTCCTCCTCCTCCTCCTCCTCCTCCTCCTCCCACACCCTCCTCATCCTCCTCGTCCCTCCTTCCTAAGTCCTCCTTCCCCTCGTCCACCCCTGTTCCTTCTGAATGACTCCGTGCACGCTCGATTCAAAAACTCCCGACAACTATCCACTATTGAGAGCAAGCCGCTCTCAAACTGTCAGGTGCCTGATTATTGGCTCTCTCTCCAGCCTGACTATTGACTCCGAGGTTCCCCTGCCCCTCGGTTCGGATGATTCCAAGGAGGGCCTCGGATGAGGCAAAGCGATGCCCAAGCGAACGAACGAACGAACGAATACAGCTGCGGACAAGCGTCCAAGCCCACACCGAAAGCGATGGGCCACGGCAAGCCCACCAGGCGGCCCGGGACAGCCCGAAGGGCCCGGGGCGCCCGCAAGAGGGCCCCGAGCTTGTCCAGGAGCGCCGCGCAGACGGCTGCTCCTCAAGGCAGCCCCAGGAGACATCCCCAAGAGGGACCCGAGAGGGCACCAAGACGGCCCAGGACGGCATCGAGAGGGTCCCCACCCCGCAGCAGCCCAATACAGCCAGACGAAAGGCCCCGATAGACTCCACGAGCGCCACTCCAAGGATAGAGACGGAGACGAGGGGTAAATATCGCATGCCAGATCCGCCACCGCACAAAGTGCTGCGCTGGCACGGTGGCGGAACTAACCGCAAGCAATTGGACATCACCACCATCCCATTCACCAACCCGCCTACGGCAAGTTTGTCCCGCGATGACCCTGGCGTTGGTTGCGTGGATCGTTCGACCTTTGAGCGATCGGCGGATTTTCGATCGCCACATCGTTCCATGTTGGACGATTCTGGGCCGCTGGCGGCTGGCGGCATTCAAACCTGAACGCCCGCGCTGGGGTCGCCGCCGCGTCGGCTCCCGCCCTCCGTGTGGGCTCCCCCCGTCTCCTCTGCCCCCCGCCCCGCTCCTCGTCGTCGCCCCTCCGCCCGCCACCACCGCTCGCGCTTTCACCCCCCCTGCGTGATTTTTTCACCCCCCCCCCCCGGTTTTGTGGACTTCTACTTTGTGAGCATTGTGGAAAAGCGATTCCTACCACCACCGGCGTTGCCTTCTGGGGGGGGCCATCCCCTACTGGCATACAAGGCAGGACAGCACACAACCACCCTCTTACTAGAGATTTTAAAAAACACATAAATGCTTTGCACCCTCGGGCTCGAGGGGCCATAGGGGGGCATGTCCCCAAACTACGGGGGTTCCCGAGAGCCCGAATACGTAAAGAAACCTCGGGCCCTGTCTCCCTCAGGGGATTTGGAGCAGGTTTGGAGTATTTTTATTTGTTTCGTCGAAAAAAATCCCAATGTTAGGGGGACCAGGCCGACTCAAGGCTGAGATACCATGGCCTGGTGGGGATGGGGGCATGCTAACCAACTCTGACCTTAGGCCCGGGGACGGACGGGAAGGCCTGCAGGAAGGAGGGAGCCTCCACTCCGCTCGGCCTCCCGCGACGGCGCGAGGACCCGAGCCCCTTCTCGACCCGCAGGCGCGCCTGCCCCCCCTCCTCCTCACTTCCTATCATCCCCTCCTCCCTCTCTCCTTCTCCTTCCTACTCCTCCTCCTTCCTCCTCCCTGCTCCTGCCCCCCCCTCCTCCCTCCTCCCTCCTCCTCCTCCTCCTCCTCCCCCCTCAACGCCTCCTATCATACCCTCCCTCCTCCCTCTCCTTCTACTCCCTCTCCTCCTCCAGCCGCGCTCTCATTCTCCTCCCAATACTGCACTCCTCCTCCAACTCCTCCTCCTCACTTCCTCCTCCTCTTCCTCCTCTCCTCTCCTCCTCCTGCCCTCCTCCTGCTCCTCCTCCTCCCCTCCCTCCTCCTCCCACTCTTCCTGCCTCCCCTCCTCCTCCTCCTCCTCCTCCTCCCTACCCCCTTACCCCTCTCCTCCTATTCCCCTATCCTCCTCCTCCTCCTCCTCTTCCTCCTCTTCCTCCTCCTCCTCCTCCTCCTCTTCCTCCTCCTCCCGCTTCCGCGGCTGCTGGGGGCGCCTCGGTCTCCGTCCCTCCCCGCCCTCGTCTCGCGAGCCTTCCGCAGCGCGGCGCCTCGCCAAAGACGTTCGGACCCCTTCCCGGGCACTGGTCTCATCCCGTGCCGTTTTTCGAAGTCCCCAGGACACTTTTGACTACCTACCAGACCACCCCAACCCAACCCGAAGACCCGAATTTGACCCGAATTTCGGGTTGGGGGGGTACGGGATCCATGTGTTTCTCCAATGTCCCCCGACCCCCCCACTGGAAATCGAGGATAAATTTGGGCCGTCG